GGGAGGGGGGGGGGGGGGCGGTGTGACTGGAACGGCGGGATGAAAGAAATTAAAGGGGGAAGACGAGGAGAAATAATGGCGGACGACGGGAGGGGAAAGTCGGGAGTGGCTCTGGTTATAAGCCATGCGAAAATCCGACGAGCTAAAAAGAAGAAAAGGTGATTAACGATGGACTAACGATTAGGTAATTCAGAAAGGAAATGCGGGCACAATGGCGGCTACGGGACTGTCATTGACTTTTTTGAATGACTGTACCACTGAACGTCCTTTACCTTTTCTGCCACTAGCTACAGTATCTTTAAATATATAGGAATGTAAGTGCACATTAAATATACATATATAAAGAGTATATATATATATATATATATATATCCCGGTCCACAGTATCTACATATACACAGAGGTATATGCACCAAGTCACATAAAATCGTATTCATCTGTATAGGGTATGTTGGGCGGGTAGCCCAGCATCCTCATTCCGATAAATCGCGACTGGCTCGGGGTGGATGGGTACACGTATAGGATAAGCGAGAACCTTTACTGCCTTTTGAGACGTTGCCTGAAGGTTGGCAGCCACCGAGTGAAATCCGGCGAAACGGAAGTTGCTGGGAAGAGGAAGTAAAACGTGTGTGAGAGAGAGGGAAGAGATTGAATGACGGGAGAAAGCAAGGATGCAAAGGGGGGGAAGGGGGATGATAGAGAAGAGCCGAGGAGGAGCTGTGGGGAATAACTCGACAACTTGTGGATCGTTTCATTATCCCGGAGTGGTACTCGCGAGGAACTTCTAAAGTTTCCTGGCAAAAGTCGGTGCCATCCGGTAGAACATAACATTAGCCGACGTCGCAGGGCCCCGCTGGACTATCGGCACGGCCCTGATATAAATCGGATATACAGGTGCCCCACGTCGGTGCTAGCAGTGACCGGGTAATAAGGATACATGGGAAGAAGGAGGATATTGGCCGACTGACCATTCTACAGAGGAGCCTGAGAAGACAGCGAGGATTCCACGCGAAGCGAATAAAGTGTGGGAGTGAAAGAAAAAAAAAAAAAATTAAAAATACCAAAGCCTCAGCGAAAGGAAGATGCAGTACAGAGAGGAAGGAGCGAAATAACAAAAAAAAAATGCTAAAAAAGGAAAGTCCCTCGAGAAAGAACGGGTAGGGAGAGACTGTGGTGGTAATTAAATTTACAACTGTTAATCAACTTGAAGCGGATCGATGCGAAACCACAGAGAGACCAGAGGAGCATCCGGTGAAGTAGAAAAGAGTTGGAGGATGAGGATGCCTGAAGAAAGTAAGGCCAATGAAGGAGGCTGTATATATATATATATATATATATATATATATATATGTACAACGAAAGGATGGAATCCTCCAGGAGGACGAGAGAAAGGGACGGTCAATGAATCAGACAAACAAACAGGCAGTCAGTCGGGCAGTCGGGAGAGGAAGTGACACTTGGAAGTTCTGATTGGAACTGACCGTGACAATGACCATGAGAGAAAAGCCCATCCTCTCGACATCCGCCAACGAGAATTCGCCTCCTCGACGCCTCCTGCCGACGTCGACGCTAATGACGCGCTTCCTGCGTCATAGAAGCGCCAGGGTGACCACCGAGTCGCGCGCGACGCGTCAAATTGACTATCATAGAAATGACCCCCAATGGTGTAACGACAATTGGAGTCCGCGTACGACGCGAATATAAAGCCGCTTCGCGATTCAAGCTTAACGCGTCCAATGAACGTTCGCCTATGGGACGATTGGAGCGAAGCGAGCAAGGAAAAGGGTAACGAGGAAACTTCGCGTAAGGACTGGGCCCCGTTTCCTACGTCCCAAGGACCGAAGGAAAGAAGCCGTCGTCGGATCTCTCATCGTTTTGGAAACTTTTGATTGGAACGCGCCCTAACGAGAAACAATCCTTGTGAAAGAAAGAAAAAAAAAAAGGTATAGTCGAGTAATGGCTGAAACGAGTGGAAAGCTGGTAAGAGTAACAGGGCGTTTCCCACGAGCGACCCTATTGGACAGCTGATCGTATTTTGGTAGTCGCGACGCCTTTGCGAATGAAAAAGAAAAATATGAGAAAGGACTCGTACGAGAAAAGTATCTTTGGAGAACAAGGAAAAATTGATATGGTCCCGATCCTGGCGGGACTCGAAAGAAATTTGATAAGAGATGGCTAACGAAGGAATGGGTCCAATTACCAGGATCGGAGTAAACGTGAAGTTGGCTTCTAATCTCGATTACATAAAATACCTGTATCTCGTACGAATGCTCTCAAAAAATTTTTATCTCTTCTTATCTCGTTTCGGTTTTTCCCTAAAATCTCCGTCCAAGTCTCAAGGTCCCCAGCGAGCACAGACGTCATCTCCGTCCGGCTGGTCTCCTGGTGTCCCGTTGGGGACCTCGGCACACAGCCACAGCCTGCCTACAGGCAGACGCGACACGTACGGGACCGTCCGCAAATTAACTAAATATTTGCGCCGCATCAATTGCAACGAACCGGCTCGTTTGGTACTTGGGGCTAATTGATATTTGCGGAGTGGCCCCTGACACTGCCGGTA